GACGGTGGCAATGGTCTCGATCTTCTTAGCCACGCAAACACACATGTGTGCATGATTCACACCCCAGGCAACACAGACATACTTGCACACATCAGCGCAATGCCTCATACCTCAGGCGAATACTCCACTCCCGCAGCGCCGTAAGAGACGGTGGCAATGGTCTCAATCTTCTCCTTGATGCTGCGATCCAGGTCGTAGAGGAACTTGTACCCGCTCTCCCCTCCCGCCTCCTTCTCCGCCACGTCACTGCATGCCTTCACCACTGATGCACCCAGTGCTGCCTGCAGACGGCAGCAGGGGATGGCATGGAAACACACGTAAAAACATTTTATCGCACTGAAATGCATTGAACCGCACAAGTCTGACAGGAGGCCGCCTGATAAGGGGCCGTAGGAACACGCCCTGAGTGAGTCGGAAGAGTTCAAACATGGCAGGGCAAGAAAGGCCATATAAAGGGCAGGAAGAGGAGTTAATCAATAGCACAGGAACAAAAAGCACGGATTCTTACCGCTCCTGCCCCTCCATGAGCAAAGTGCGAGCACACCACAGCATCCACCGCGCCTGCTGCCATCGCAGCCTTCTGAACCTCCGCAATCTCAGCCTCTGTATCCGCAGCAAACCGGTTGATCGCCACCACCACCGCGACACCGTACCGCCGAGTGTTCTCGATGTGCCGGACCAGGTTGGAGCACCCCTGCGCCACCAGCTCCACGTTCTCTGACGTGTATGCGTGGTCCAGGGGCTTCCCTGCCACCACTGCTGGCCCCCCTCCATGCATCTTGAGAGCGCGCACCGTGGCCACTATCACGGCGCAGTGGGGGCGCAGCCCGCTGTACCTGATCCAGGGAAAAGGGGTGATGTGCAAGAAGGGGTGATTCGAGGACGATTTGGGGTGATTTGGAGTCAAGAAGGTGTGATGCAAGAAGGTTTTATACGGGGAAAGAGAGAGAGCGCGCCTTGTGTGCCAAACCAACTCCACCCTTTTTTACTTTGAGGCACCTTGCCTGCCTGACACGTCTCAATAAGCTCGCTTACAGCCTGCCCGTCAACTACCGCCTGCCCCTCGCCTCATGCTCTCCCCACACGCGGCCCTCACAAGCTCACCTGCACTTGATGCAGGAAAACTTCTCTGCGCCAATGTCCGCTCCAAACCCCATCTTCCCAGCCCGCCCCCCCCTCCCCAAACCCGTATGCACACTTTCTACGCGGCCCTCACAATCTCACCTGCACTTGATGTTGAAGAACTTCTCCGCGCCAATGTCCGCCCCGAAGCCCGCCTCAGTGCACACGACGCCGCCCTCCCCCACGAGCTTGAGGGCGATTTGGTCGGCAATGATGGACGAGTTGCCGTGCGCTATGTTGGCAAACGGTCCCGCGTGCACCAGCACTGGCGTGCCCTCCAGCGTCTGCATCAGCGTGGGACGAATGGCGTCCTGGACGAGGGGAAGAGGAGGGGAAGAGGAGGGGTGGAATGTGAAGGGGTGGAATGTGAAGGGGTGGAATGTGAAGGGATGGAAGGGAAAGGGGAAGCAAAGAGCCCTCCAGCGTCTGCATCAGCGCCGGGCGAATGGCGTCCTGGAGAGGAGGGGAGGGGGGGACGGGGAGAGCGAAGGTAGACAGTCACGAAGGAGGAGGATGGAAGGAGGGAGGGATGCGAAGAGCAGCACAATGCATGGGCAACGGGAGGACACTCATTGCAAAAGCATGGAACGCGAAACCCCACAGCCCTCATGCACGTATAGGAAGGGCCTCACAACGCAAAACAGTCAAACCTCACCACCAGACAACCAGAATACCCCTTGCTCGCTCACCTTCATGATAACCGTCAGCGCGCCACCAATCCCCAAGTCGTCAGCGGTGACCGCATCACCGGCCCGACTGGTCCCAATGACCATGCGGCCGAGCCTCTCGCGGAGGTCGTCGAGCGACGTGGTGAGGGCGAGCACGGCCATGATCTCGCTCGCCACGCTGATGTCGAACCCCGTCTGCCGCGTCAGCCCGCGCTCCTCTGGCCCCTGCCCGATGGTGATCCCCCGCATGAACCTGCGACGGGAGGGAAGCAGGAGTGGGTTAGCGCGAGTGGGTTTCTGGAGCCCCTTCACAACTCGCCACGCTAGCGTGGAATCTTGTTGTCCGCCTAGTCAACTCTCTCTCCTCAGGCCCCTGCCCGACGTGGTGAGGGCGAGCACGGCCATGATCTCGCTCGCCACGCCCACGCTGATGTCGAACCCCGTCTGACGAGTCAGCCCGCGCTCCTCTGGCCCCTGCCCGATCGTGATCCCCCGCATGAACCTGCGCCAGATGGGAGGCGGAAGTGGGTTAGCTGCTTTTTGAGCCCGCTCACAACTCGCCACGCTAGTGTGGAAATCTGTCCATCGAAAGAATCACCGCTGGTCAGTCCCCTTCTTCGATAGTGATTCCTCGCAGAAACCCGCGCCAGAGTGGAAGCGGAAGTGGGTTACTTCTTGGTTGCACAACACGTGGGATCAAGACAGGTGGGTCATTGGCTGCTCGTGCTTCCCAGTCAGTATACTCGCAGCCCGCCATCCCAGTATGCCCGCCACGCGCATGCACACGGACACCAACACGCACCCATCATCAACATCCATCACCCGGCGCGCACCTATCATTGATGTCCATCACGCGGCGCCACGTGATCTTCTCCGGGTCGATATCCAGCCTCACAAACCGCCGCACCTCGTCCTCCGTCAACTCCGCGGGGTCGCTCTTATCAATCCCCAGCTTCTTCAGCCGCCGGAACATGATCGGCGAGAATCGCCGCTTGCCCTCCTTGTCCGCCGGGCACAGCCGGTTCAGCAGCCCCTTGTCGGACTGAGCGGCTTCGTGGAAGATTCGGGTGTCGATGGCGGCGGCGAGGAGGTTGTTGGCTGCGGTGATGGCGTGGATGTCGCCGGTGAGATGCAGGTTGAAGTCTTCCATTGGAATCACCTGAGATGCGGCAGAATGTGTGGAATGGAAACTCATTGCTTGATTGAGAGCGGGATGAAGTTGATTGTGACAGGGTTTGAGAAATGACGTTGTTCATCTTCTGCCATCAAACGTGCAGTAGGCTAGTGATATTCGTACGCTTCCACAGAAACAAATTGTGCATTTCAATTGAATCTTCATCCAATATTAGTTAAAGAATACAGTCTGCTCACCTGACTGTATCCTCCTCCAGCCGCTCCTCCCTTGATGCCGAAAGTGGGTCCCATGCTGGGCTGACGGATGCATGCAATACACTGCACGGATGAGGCAATCGGGCCGAATGGAGAGAGGTTAAAATCGTTCTGGAGCCAGGCCCTTTTGGAACCCATGAAAATCTAGTTTCGACTTTTCTCTTCGTACATTTCTTTTTTTCACAACAGAAAATTTTTGTTTGCGTGTCGAATCCGACGATCAAGAATCTGTGCTTAATCTGTCACTCACCAAACGAGCTAATTTGTCACTCACCGACTTGTCTAGATGGGCTCCAAGGGCCTGTGCGAGCCCGATGGTGGTGGTGGATTTGCCCTCTCCGAGCGGAGTTGGAGAAATTCCGGCGACCAGCACATAATATCCAGACTTTGAGTCCTTCAACCGATCCTTCACGGACAAGCAAACCTGAAATATGCCGAAAAAGGATGAACAATAATATAATGAACGATCAATGGACAGGGAACAGCTTGCGATATGTTGCGGTTCTGGCAGAATTACGGAACGCAGTTCCTAGAAGATAGGTGGTTCGCTTGCCTTGGCCTTGAGATTTCCATAGAGCTCGTACTCAGACGGCTGCAGACCGACCGCATCGGCAATCTCAGCTACCGGCCGCGGCTCCACTGACTGGGCGATGACAATGTCAGCAGGCACAGGGTCCTGCACTTGCAACTTGCGAGCAGTTGCAATGGTCGCCATTGGAAACAAAATCTTAACCTATAACTAACGCCTCGCCTTCGCAATGAACCACAAACGTTAGTTCTTGTTTAAGGTGCAGGATCAGAAGCCTCGGATGCAGAATGCTGATGCAAATTTGTTTCTGTGAACTGGAAAGTCTGAAATGCCTGGATTCCTGAAAGCTGACCAAGAGTGAAGGGACTGCTTGCTGAAAGTGTGAGTACTGCAAGTGAAAGGTTTGCTTGCTGTTGAGTAATCAGCTGGCATTCTTCGCTGAACAAATTGCTGCTCGCATCGCCGCTCCCGCGGGATTGCCTTGTTGGACTGAGAGGATGTGACTGACGTTGGATCATCTCTGACAGTCAACAAGAAACCTCGATTTATTGCACTGCTGACCGTTCGATGAGTCGCTTGTAGCCCTCTGACGACCTTCTTGGCGCGCGAACCCCTTGATTGGATGGGTCGTATGCACATGTCAAAGAAAGTCTGCCAGATTGTGTGAGGATTTGGGGTGCCAGTTCACGCGGATTTCTAGCTTGTCGTGGCAGGTGAATGACTAGGATATCCATTTTGCTGTTGTGGCTTCTCCAGGTGTTCCACCACGTCATCAATCCAGTCTGGTCAGCAAAATTTCCCTCAATATTTGTGGGTTCGTTAGAATTTCAGTATAGGTTCAGAAGTTTTCACGATACTCGTATTTCGACCATTTCGAGGGCTACGGCAATTCGGCAATTTCGAGGCTTGAAGTATCACCAAAATGCGGAACAATGCGGGTCCCAGCATAGCATCTACCGCAGCAGCCGATGATCACCCTTCGCCCTTCGGGGCGTTCTCTTCCTTTCCTCCTCTTCCAGTCACGCTTTTCCGTCTCCAGACTCGCCACCGCTTCTCTCCTCGCCGATCCATCGCATGTTGTCGCCGTTAACTCTCGCAATCGCCATCCATCCGTCGCACCAGCATCGCTCGTGCCGCGAGTAACATCTTCACCGACGATTTTCGCAATTTCCCGCCAACCATCCTTAAATCAGCAACAACTCCGCACGAGCTGGACTTCAGTGCTCCTCAATCCACCGCTTGTTAGAACATTCCACTCATCGGTACCTGACAGACAATCCAGTAACAGGCAAATGGAGCAAGCCAATAAGGTTGATCCACGTGGCTACGAGGCTGCTCTAGCGGCGCTCTCTGGTTTGATCAATCAGCGGAAGCGCGCCGATGGGTCAAACTGGGGAGATGCCTTCGCTCTCATGCGCTCATACGTTAAGGTTAGTCTAGTGATTCTCTTAGCTAAGGTTGCTCTGGTTACTCCCTCTTGACCAGTTACTCTCTGAAGTTAGTAAGGCACCAGCTACTAACGACACCAGATTAGTCTCGGGTCCCTGGTATCATTCCGAGTTAAGAAGGTTTTTTGCAGGGCAAAACCTTCATGATTTTCGCCTGTCTCCATTCCTTGAATCTGTTAGTCCGTGGTGTTACATCCCTGCCATCAGTTGCGATCCTTTCTCTTATTGTCAGAAATTCCGAATCTTGTGTTATATGTTCTGTTGTCAGGTGCTGGAACTGGAGGGACCAGTTGACCAGCTCAGCATCATCCACGTGGCAGGCACCAAAGGCAAGGCAAGAAATCAGCATGATTACATGGCACAGCATTACAGCATGACTCTAATGACACGGCACAGCATGACATGGCACAGCCTGATTCCAAAGCGCCCTCCACTCTCTCTTTCCCTCCTCTCTCACTTTCCCTCCTCTCTCTCTTTCCCTCCTCTCTCTCCTTCCCTCTCATCTCTCTTCCCCTCCTCTCTCTCTTTCCCTCTCCTCTCTCTTTCCCTCCTCTCTCCCACGTCTCCACTTGTTTCACTGGGCTCCCTATGCGCCATGCTGAGGGCAAGCTGGCACACAAGGGGACTACAAGGGGACTCTCATCCACACAAGGATTGTGCTACTTCCTTTCTCGCTTTCGTCCCTAATTTACCCGTTCCCTCCTCTTGTTAACCCCCCCTCTCTCCCCACAGGGGTCCACGTGCGCCATGGCGGAGAGCATGCTGAGGGCCAGCGGCCACACCACGGGGCTCTTCACCTCGCCTCACCTCGTGGACGTCAGGGAGCGCTTCCGCCTCAATGGGTGAGCGGTGAAGGGGGGAAGTGAACGCCTCAGGGTGAGTGATGACGGGCTTAGGAGCTTGCAGCTCGCCAAAAGCAGTTTAATGGGTGAGAAGTTCCTGCTCAATGAAAGAGAGGATGGATTGGGCTGTGCTATGCACCGCAATCCTCAAACCCCAATCCCTACTATTTCTGAAACCCCACATTCTCAAGTCCCACATTCTCAAACTCCGAACCCAACTGTTACTCAAACTTCACATTCTCAAGCCCCTCATCCTCAAAACCCCTACAACCCTGCTTTTCTCTCCAGGGAAATGGTGTCAGTGGATACTTTTTTGCAGCACTTCTGGTGGTGCTACGACAGGTGTAAGGTGCGAGGCTGTTTTGAGGCTGTTCTGTCCGTTAGTTGCAATGGGATGCGGAAGCAACAATGTATCCACTTCTTCGCTCTGCCTCCCTCAAATCCCTCGTAAGCTCCTCTCCCCCAACCCACCTGACCTTCCCATTCGCCTCTCCCCAACCCCAAATTTCACTCTCCTTTTCCATTTACCCTTTCTTTCAACCATGTTTTTACTCATCCACTTTCCCATTCTCTGTTTTCCACCCTTCCCGCCTCTTTCCAGGAAGCAGCGTCCTCTCCCTCATCCCCCATCCCCATGCCAGCCTACTTTCGTTTCCTCACGCTGCTCGCTCTACGTATTTTCACCCACACCCAGGCAAGTGTGTTTGAGAACTCTCAAAGGCCCCCTCACCCTCACTCTGCCCATACGCATCTTCACCCACACTCGGGCAAGCCCTTCTCTTTCTCACACCCTTAGACATGCCTCAAGCGCCACACCCAGGCGTTCCTCTTTCTCTCTCACTGCTCCACACGCCTCTGCAGCCCCTCCCTCGCCTTTTCGCCCTGCGAATCTTCTCCCACACCTTTGCCCCTCCCTCACCTTTGTCCGTACCTAGCTAATCCACCCGATCTTCTGCTCCTTGTCCTTTTTGGCAGGTTGACGTGGCGATTCTGGAGGTGGGGATTGGAGGACGATTCGACGCCACCAACATCGTGAGTTGCTGGCTGGTCCCATTTGCCTTTTGCACCACGCTCCTACTGTTCCCCCCAACACTAGCACCCTTCTTCTGCAAGGTTGCAATGGTGTGCCATCACATTCCTCTTCCCCTTGGCCTTATCTCCTCCCACTCGTCCCTCGTTGTTCCCATCTCCCGCCCTTCCTCTCGTCCCCCGTCCCTCTCTACCCAATCAGGTCAAGCGCCCAGCAGTGTGTGGCGTGTCGTCACTGGGCTTCGACCACATGGAGCTGCTGGGTGAGTGGGTGGGGTGGTGGTGGGTGAGTTGGTGGTGGGTGGGTTGGTGTGCTGTGCTGGTGAGGCTGGGTGGGGGTTGGTGTGCTGTGCTGGTGAGGCTGGGTGGGGGTTGGTGTGCTGTGCTGGTGAGGCTGGGTGGGGGTTGGTGTGCTGTGCTGGTGAGGCTGGGTGGGGGTTGGTCTGCTGTGCTGGTGAGGCTGGGTGGGGGTTGGTGTGCTGTGCTGGTGAGGCTGGGTGGGGGTTGGTGTGCTGTGCTGGTGAGGCTGGGTGGGGGTTGGTGTGCTGTGCTGGTGAGGCTGGGTGGGGGTTGGTGTGCTGTGCTGGTGAGGCTGGGTGGGGGTTGGTGTGCTGTGCTGGTGAGGCTGGGTGGGGGTTGGTGTGCTGTGCTGGTGAGGCTGGGTGGGGGTTTCTCAGCTTCAGTACTCCCTCTTCGCCATTCCGATATCGCCATCCACTTATGCTTACCCCCTCCACCCCACACTACCCCTGTCCATTCACACTCACCCGCTTCCACCCCTCACTACCCCTACCCACTCATACTCACCCGCTTCCACCCCTCACTACCCCTACCCACTCATACTCACCCCCTTCCACCCATCACTTCCCCTGCCCACTCATACTCGGCCCCTGCCACCCCTCATCACCCCTGCCCACTCATACTCGCCCCCTGCCACCCCTCATCACCCCTGCCTGCTCATGCTCGTCCGTGTCTCTGTTTCTGCTCCCTGCTCTGCTGACTCTGCGAAACCTTCAGGAAACACCCTGGCTCTGATAGCAGGCGAGAAGGCTGGGATATTTAAGGTGAGGGGGAGGGAGGGTGGAAGAGGGGAGCATGAATGGGGAGTGGGGAGGGGAGAGCGACGGGAGGGGGGGGCAAGGGGTGGGAGTGTAGGGTGTGAGGAAGTGGAGACGGGTATGGATTAGGGGTTGGAGAGGTTGTAGGAGGCCTAGGGCCCTAGACAAGAAGGCAGGAGCCTATTTTTCCATCACTCCTCCCAATAGTATTTTTTCCCTTTGCCTCAATCAGCCTCTTTCTTCTTGTCTTTCCCCCTTCATACTCACCCACGCTCCACATCCCATCCCCTCCCAGCCAGGAGTGCCGGCAGTGACAGCGCCACAGGAGGAGGAGGCAATGGAGGTGCTCAGGCAGCGAGCAGAAGAGCTGCAGGTGGGAGGGTGGGGGTGAGAACGAGATTGGTAAAGTGTGTGGGTCTGGGTGGGTAGAATTCGAGGCCAAGATGCCTCTCATGCCAGCTTCCCTCAAAAAGGCTGTCCGTCCTTTCTACCTTCCATACTCCCACACACCACACACCACACACCCACTCAACACACACACACACACACACACACACACACACACACACACACACACACACACACACACACACACACACATTCCCGTGTGACTTCCATCCCATTGCTCTTCCCCCGCTAGATTCTCCTAGAGGTGGCCAGGCCATGGCACGAGGTGGCGCCAGGTGTGCGCGTGGGATTGGCTGGCCGGCACCAGCTGGTCAACGCGTCTCTGGCCGTCTCTCTGTGCCGCCAGTGGGCCATCCGCAGCGGCAGGGAAGAGGAGGCACATGCAATCGATCAGGTGAGATTTAGTACGGTGCTGTGAGGTGTTGTGGCAGCATGGCAGTGGGCCCTGCGCAGTGGCAGGGAAGAAGAGGCCCGCGCAGTCGATCAGGTGAGGTTCAATGCGGTGCTGTGAGGTTCTGTGATGTGGAATGGAATGTGCCGCTGGCCGTCTCTCTCTCTGCCGCCAGTGGGCCCAGCGCAGCGGCAGGGAAACTGAGGCGCGTGCAATCGATGAGGTGAGGCAAATTTTGATTCATTTTCCGCTCTGAGGATGCTCAAAAGCGGTTCAGGACATGCTCACGCTATGTCGCGCTTCTTGCGGCTGGATTCCCTTTTCTTACCCTTGTTTTCCTGGTTCAGGCCCTGGCCAATAAGACGCTGCCACCTGCTTACATCAAAGGGCTAGGGTGTGCCTCCTGGCCGGGCAGGTGCGAAATCCTGCAGGACTGCCCAACCGAGCCTGGCCAGGCTGGAAGTGCATGCGGGCAGCTGACATTCTTTTTAGACGGTGCCCATACAGTGGAAAGCATGGAGGTGTGCGGAGAGTGGTTCTCAGAAGCTTCTCTGGATGGTGGGAGAGTTTCAGAGGGAGATGGAAGGAGGGGGGATGGGGATGGGGATGGAAGGGGATATGTTGAAGGGGATGGAAGGGTGGGAGCACGAACAAATGCTGTGGATGATCCAGCAGCAGGGGTGCAAGGATCATACCAAGTGGAAGCCAAGTCATCTGTGCGGGTACGGCTTTATGGAGCTTTCTTTGGCTGGACTAGCTTGGTGGCTGAGTTGACTTGGGCTTGTGAGGGCCTTGTGCATGCTATGCGTGACATGCACTTGACAGATGACCTCTGCCTCGCCTACAGGTGCTGCTGTTCACTTCACCTTCATGCCTGAGCGGGACACTCACGCTCTCGTGCCGTTTGTCCCGCGTTCCCTCGTGCTACCAGAATTGTGCTACCCCCTTTTCACTGCCCTTCTCTCGTCTCTCATAACAGGTGTTGCTGTTCAACTGCATGCCTGAGAGGGACCCACACACGCTCATGGCACAGCTTCTCAAGACACTTGACCACAGAGGTACGTTAGAAATTCCCGCACGTAGAAAGGGTTATGTGCAGTTTAAAACAGAAACAGGCACATCTGAACACACTCATGTCCTCAAGCACATGTGATGAGATGCTCACAAAGGGCTTTCCATCGGCTTGTTACAGTATCGATTGATTTAACTCCTTGTCTCACTCTATTTGCTTTTATCAATGCTTTACATTGTGCTCTTGCTTCACCCTTTCCTCACTGCAACTCATGCTTCTCCATTTTCTTATCCCCCAGGCCTGTCCCTCCATCGAGCCCTCTTTGTCCCCTCGCTCTCCTCCTACACTGCCCTCCTCCCCTCTCCCTCCTCCTCCTCCCCCTCGGCTTCCCTCCCCTCATCCGACTCCACTGGCCCTACTCCTACTGTGACGAGCCAAAGCATCAGCTCTGGCACCGATGCTAGTGGCACGGGGCAGAGCAGCAGCCTCGGCCAGAGCAGTTTGGATTGGCAACTGTCCATGCAGCGAACGTGGGAAGAGCTCCAGCAGCAGCCACTACTTACAGCTACTGTTGTTCCTGCTGCTGCAGCTGCTGCCACCAGTGCTGGTACTGCTGCTCTTGCTGCTGCTGCTCCTGCTGCTGGTGGTGGTGGTTCAGGTGCTCGTTTGGTTGACTCGATTCCTGCCTCGTTCCTTGTCTCGTCTAATTCGGTCCAATCAGTAACATCTCTAGCATCAGGAGCTGCACAACCAGCAGCACCAGGAGCATCACGGGGCGCAGAAAGGAAAGAGTTGGAGGATCCATCCTGGCCGTTGATTTTGCAAGGATTAGCAAGTTTGGGGCCTCGCAGCGCTGTGCTGCCGTCACTTCGGGCGGTCATTGATCTGCTTAGGTGGACGGCTAGGATGCACCCGGACGTCCATCTGCAGGTGTTAGTGACAGGGTCGCTGCACCTGGTGGGTGATGTGCTGCGTGTGGTGAGAAGAGATTAGGTGTCGTTGCAGCTAGTATGAAAGCAAATCTAAAATGAAATGTTTCTCAAGGGATGTAAACCACGTGCCTGTTTGATGTTACATGCACATCATTCAGACTTAGATTAAACTTCACGCACATATGAAATGCACTAGGCTTATCCATATCCGGAGTAGCTTAGTGTATCTTATTGTGGCTCCATATTGGCACGAGCTTCGTGAGACACCTGGAATGACCAAGTGATCCCAATAAGTTGCAAAGGAGATGGCCAGATTATAAGAGCGTGTTACGTACCCCTCTTTTTGGGGGCTGGTCGGGTTGCCTCAAACGGTCGGGTTGGGTAGACCAGTAGGGCTACCAAATTACCAGCGGCTGTACAGTTTACAGTATTGTACGTGTGTACCAGAGCTTCTCACACCTGGTCGAGGCAACCAGGTGGTCAATGCGACCGGTTGGTCGCGCCCACGTACAATCGAGTCGAGGCAACCAGCCTCGAACGTACGAACATGCAGCGCAACCAGTGATACAGTAAACATTTTGGGCAGGTCACACAAGCAAATATCGATACAATTGGTGGAAGAAAACTAATATCAAGAACTGAATGCAGAACATTGGCGGAATGACTGTTGGGTCTGCCCCAAATACTATTCGCGTGGTTGGGTCCCGAAAACAAGCGGGTGGTACAAATGCAGGTTGCCTGCTGGGACCCAACCGCCCACTGGTCGACCCGACCAGTCAGGTTGGGTCGACTTTTACAGGCAACCGGGCCCTGCCACGCTCTAAATGTATGAATTGCTTACTGATTCAAAATGACGATTGAACCCTCTACCGGGTTGTTCAGTGGCTCAGTATCGGTTCGCTGTATGCCCGAACCTTGGTCCCCGTCGGACCTGAACCCTGGAAATTCACGAGGGATCTGTCTGACCAACCATGATCGGTGCGAGGGCATGCCGTGCCGAACACAGGACCGAACACGGTCGAGTCGAGTCGTACGTAGGGACTGTATTCCATGATCCCATCTCACCCATCTATAACGTTCCATAACTTTCTATACCATTCTATTTCATCCTCGATTTCTCGATTCTCCTCCTCCCCTGCTGCTTTTCTGTGATCACCGTGCATCCCGCTGGCCTCTAGTTGCTGCTGCCTGCGTGACAGTCGCAAGCAGGCACGCGCCATTATTGGAGCCAGTTCAGTTCAGGCTTCCCACTGACCAGTCGCAGCAAGCCGCATCGTTTTTTTACAGCCATTTCATAACCCTTACGATTGATAATTTCGTCTTCCTGCGAAACATTATCCTTCATCCCTAATAACCATTGATCACATCAGGACGAATAACGTGTTTTTGAGACTGGAAGGTCAACGTCATCCAATCCACGATTTCCGTCGTCCAAGCACAATACTTTCAACTCCTGAAATTGGTCGCCTACTACGCCGGAAGACGCACGCGATGACTCTAAAAGAGACACTCATGCTACTAGTCGTCCTCGTGTCGTGTCTGTCGACGCTGCCATTCGGAGCTCTAGTGGCTGCGCAGTCCGATGGCTCAGAAGGCGGCGGTGATGACGGCGGATACGACAGCAGTGGCGGAGGAGGAGGATACGGCGGCGTGAAGTGCGACCCGTCGTCCTTGACAGACTACGATTATTCCGTCAAATTAAACGATCGCGGGTAACATTCTTACCATTAACAAAAGATTTCAAATCAGATTTCCTTTCGTTCAACTTTTCTTCGTTTCTTCATTCTCTCCTGTTCAACTTTTCTTATCCTTCCTTCTCGCTACCCCGTGTACCCTCCCGTCTTCCTCCCCTCTCCCCGTCTCGCCGCGAGTCAGTCTCATCCTTCACTGGAAGACCGTCAACTCCACGACCATCAACTTCGCCGCGCAAGCGCTTGCCGGGCCGGTTGCAGACGGCTGGTTCGCCGTCGGATGGTCGGGTTCGTCCGGCAGGATGATCCCGGGAGAAGCGGTGATCGGCAATCTGCCTGGGGGAACGATGAATCCTTATTATTTGGGTTACTACTCCATGGCTGAGGTTGTTCCAACCATAAACTTCAGCATTGGGAGTGCCGGGAACGAGGCTATGCTGACCAAGAACGCGGACAATTCGATCATCATGAAGTGAGTGATCTTCTTATCGAAGCAGCAAACAAAGAGTGGGATTTTGCATTCATCCGAGGCGACATTGACCATGAACAAAGACAATTAGACCATCTAGAAGTGAGCGAGTCCGTTCTTTACGCAGAAGTGAGAGCGAGTCCCCGTACTTGAAGCAGCACACTGGATGTTTGTTTTTCGTTCATATTCTGCTGACCAAGAACGCGGACGATTCGATCATCATGAATGAAGTGAGTTGCTTTTGCGCTGCGCATTCGCCACGATGCCCTTCGAATTCTCCGCACATTCGCCGGGACACTGGATACCCTTACATTTGCTGCACATTCGCCGGGACACTGGATACCCTTACATTTGCTGCACATTCGCCGGGGCACTGGATACCCTTAGATTTGCTGCACATTCGCCGGGACACTGGATACCCTTACGTTTGCTGCACATTCACCGGGACACTGGATACCCTTTCATTTGCTGCACATTCGCCGGGACACTGGATACCCTTACATTTGCTGCACATTCGCCGGGACACTGGATACCCTTACATTTGCTGCACATTCGCCGGGACACTGGATACCCTTACATTTGCTGCACATTCGCCGGGACACTGGATACCCTTACGTTTGCTGCACATTCACCGGGACACTGGATACCCTTACATTTGCTGCACATTCGCCGGGACACTGGATACCCTTACGTTTGCTGCACATTCGCCGGGACACTGGATACCCTTACATTTGCTGCACATTCGCCGGGACACTGGATACCCTTACATTTGCTGCACATTCGCCGGGACACTGGATACCCTTACATTTGCTGCACATTCGCCGGGGCATCCTCTAATGTGCTACTCGCCGTTTCCCATATCATATGCTCTCTCTCTCTCTCGATGGCTGATGACCCGCACTCTCTCAGTCTGTCTGTTCTAATAACTCGCACTCCCCTTTCCAACATACCAGATCCGACCTGTGCACTTGTACCCGTTATTGTCCTCCTCGTTTGTGTGCCCAACTGCAGGTTCTCGCGGTCAGTGAACGACGGCACTGTGAAGGTGCTGCTCAAGGGAGTCAACTACATGATCTGGGCCTACTCGGATGGCTCCCAGACCCTCGCCCAGCACCCCCGCTCCAACATGTACGCACCCCTTAGAACCACCCAGAACCATTCAAACCCTCCTCAGAACCACCCAGAACTCCCCAGAACCACCCACAACCCCCAAGAATCACCCAGTACCCCTTAGAACCGCCTAAATTCCGCAAAATTCCCAGAACCTCCGAGTGTGACTGTATTGACGCGAATACGGTATGGTACTACACACCTCGCTGCACCACGTTGCACCGCGCTTCACACCTCTCACATAGCTCATCCGCCTGTGATGAGACGAGTTTTTTGTCGATTAGAAAGTTGCCTCCTTCTCCTTTGCCTCCCACCCTCTCCTTTGCCTCCCACCCTCTTCCTTGCATCCCAACCTCTCCATCCACTCATGCACGCGGTTCAGGAATCGTAGCACACGTGTGTTATCTTGAAGTCTCATTGTCTCACGCTCACATGCTCTAAACGCTCTACTTCTGCCCGTACGCACTTGCTGCCCTCTCTTTTGACCCCTGATCCCGTCCCACTTATACTCTTCCCCAAGAGAGCCGTGGCGATAGACTGCAGCTGCAGCAGCAGCTGTTCCGCCTCCCAGTCCCAGGAATCGGCCTGCCGGCCCTCGACTCCTGCCCTCTTCTCTTCTCCTTCCCTCTCGTTTCCTCCCCCCCTCCCAGGGAATCCTATGGCAGTAGACTTCAGCTGCCCCGCTTCCAGCAGTGGCAACAGCAGCGGGCCGTCCCCTGAGTCCCATTTTGGCCTGCCCTTCCTCTTCCCATCCTCTTCCCTTCCTCTTCCCTCTCGTTTCTCTCCTCCCC